ATATACATACATACACGTACTCTGAGGAATGCTTCCAATCTATGCCACGAAGAATTGAGGCAGTTCTGAAGGCAAAAAGGGGGTCCAACCCGTTACTAGCGTGGTGTACCTAATAAAGTGGCCGGTGAGTGTATATGTATGTATATTTAAACAATCACCTTGAGCATGCTAAGGTAATTAAAAGGCATGTGTAGGTACAGTGTTATTTCACTTAAAACTACAGATTTATAATATTCTTCTTGTGATGTGGTATTTATCACAGCGTAGGCGCGTTTTTTCTTGACAAATCAACAGATGCCAAAAATGGCAATATTATGGTAACTTCATGATTCACTAATTAGTCAATGATGCTGTCACCAGTTGCATGTGTTGCTGTTTAAGTATCTAAGTATTAACAGCAAAATGTGCAATAAAAAATGATTTAAAAAAATCGTAAGTCAACGAGCTTCCCATTTTCTAATATTTGGCACTGATATCAGCCAGTGGGGAAAAAATCAAATCAGTTGACTTCTGTAGAAAATCATGTTACTATTTACTTATTGGATCAGCAAAGTTTGTGTGTTTAAAAGTATATTTTTGTGTGCAAACAATATTTGTATTCCAGCTGCAACTTTGGCAAAGTTAAACAGTCTTTGGACACTAAAAACCGAAGGTTCAATTTGAAGTTACATTTCTAAGCCGCAAATCCTGCATTGTATAGAGTCCCTCCTGTTCTCAACCACCCCAGTCTCAACATTGCCCTGTCAGTCTGGTATTACAAGCAGAAACAGCAGACCCTGAGACAGCCTAAATCCACAAAAGACTTGTGGCCCCAGGAAACGTCAAGAGAGATCCAAGAGGTGAAGTCTGGGTGGAGGCAGGTTTGCTGAACTTCTCCAATATTGAAGAGAAGCAACAGAAGTAGAGTTTCTAAACTGCAGTGTGGAATAGTGAAGACAGTGACAGGAGCACTGATATGTTTTACTGACTGGTTGAACTGAAGGGTTGTATTCCAGCTGCATTCGAAAAAATGCATGTGTTTAACTTTATGTTCCTAAAGTTTAAAATTACTAGCTAAAAATTTAAATTAGATGTTTTCTGTTAATGGTTATTTTTTTCTGTGTCGTTAAACTCAATTAAAAGAAGTCAGGAAAAATCACATGTATATTTTCTGTTTTTAACTTGGTTGTATTAGGGATCAAAACCTAAATTTTTCTGTATATTAACATAAAGCGTCCTGAGAAATTATTACTTTCAGTTACCAAGTGTGAAACTCAAAGATATGAGGCAAATGTGAAGGAAACTTATTGAATATTCCCACAAAGACCAAGAAACAGATTTCAAAATACGRGCTTACTTGAGCTTCTGGAACTCGGCATAAGCCTTCTCATAAACTGTAAAAACAGAAAAAAAGAAAAAGAAAGAAAGAAAATGGAAAGTGTTTAAAATCACAAGAAACCACAAGAAGCAAAAAATGCATCTTCATAAAATAAAAACACTCAATGGATTTTAAACTGCCTCTTTTTTACATAATGAACATCCATAACAGTGGTGACAAGAGGAGTGGAATAATGAAACAGGAAAGTAATGAATTTATCCAAAGTCTGTCAAAATGTAACTGGAGCATAATGGAAATAATAGAAAAGCAGATGCTGAACAAAGAAGTTTTGCTAGTAAACCTACTGGAATGTAATATTTCAAGCTGGTCAGCACTGCTGTTCTATGTTAGAAAGACAATTTTTTTTTTCAGTTTTTTAGGACTAATGGAATTAACGTTTTTTCCATTGGGCAAGATTTCTAATTGGAGTAATCTAAGTTTTAAACCTCAAGCCGATGCCAAAAAAAGCCATAAACACAATCTGACCCTTGTTGTTTGTATTGTTTCCTTTTTTGAATTATTAATTTAAAAGAAAAAGGCACTGACCATCACCACTGAGGTCCATGGTTCGTTTGGTTGAGCTGTCAGAGCTGGTGATCACAATGGAGTATGATCCTTTATCCTTCTCCACTGGTTCAACCACCTGTGGATCAGTCAACATAATAAACTGCTCAATGCAAGACAGGACTATTCGTGCTATTCAGTTTGCTGCTACTTTTGTTATTTTAGGCTGATTTAGGTTACACATGCAGGGCTGGTCCATGACATAGGCAGTGTAGGCAAAGACTAAGGTCACCATGCATCTAGGGGGCATCACAAACAGGAGACAAAAAAATTATAACTTTTTATCAGAGTATGGTTGATATAATCTGTAGAATAATCGCTGGCTATTCAAGTTTATGAAGGTGACTTGTTCTGTGGGTTTCTCAGCCTGCTTTGTTACTATATGAGATGTTTTAATGGTGCCAAAGATATTTTGTAATAAAAGTATCATAGAAAACAAAATAAGTGTAATTAAAGTTTCAGTTATGAGCTCAGAAAAAGCTCACGTTACAGTATAGGTTTCAGTGCTGTCTCATAAAATATAGATTTTATGTTGTTTTAATAATCCCAAGAATTTAGTAAAATACTCTTCAAATGGCTGGATAATGCACAGTTTTGAGTAGATCTTTCCAAGAGGAATTCCCTTTTATTGTTAACTATTTTAATTGAACAACCTGGTTTCTAAAGATCAAAAAAATATCATCAAGGACAAATCTACTTAATTTTTTCGTATGTAAATTAGCAGTAAGATTTAGAAAATTGCACAAGAAGCGCCACCTGAAGTTTTGCCCGGGGTGCCAAATTGACTAGGGTCGGCCCTGAACACATGTGAGCAACTGTACCACTCTCCAAGGCAGTTTTCTGTCATAAAATCAGCCGTGAATGATTTACCCTAAAATTGTTTAAGGTTTAGTACAGCTACTATACAGATTATGATTCTACCTCCATTGTTGCCATAGCAGGGGTGCCTCCGATCACGATCTTGTCACTGTGGGAGAGTTTACTCTCACTAAGTAGGGAAAAGAGGAGAAGTTAATTTGAATGTGTGTGTGTGTGTAGTGTTATATGAGTGAAGCTTGCTTCAAAGGTAATGATTAAGATTGGGAACATAGCTTCAAAATGTTGCACACTTATAGAAAGGATGTGGGGATATTGTTGGAGCTAATCCCCACAATTTTTGTTCCTTTGGTTCATTCTTGTTGGTTTTTTTTCTGCTTCCCTGTCCTACTTTGCTCACTCCACTTATTGTCCAACGTCCTCCCTTCACCATTTTTAAATCTCTTGGGTAAGACAGTGGGCTTTTAAGAGCAGAAAGCCTTGTGTTTTATTGAAAATAATATGGGTGTGATTCCTGTCACAAAATGGAACAGTTTGTACTGCACTAACCAGTGTAATAAAAACTGTTGCCAACAGCTATCACAGGTTTTATGTAATTTATTGCTTTTGCCACTCCTTGCAGTTCACTTGAGACAAAAACAAAATATTGGCCTGGTGGACTGCTTGTTTATTGGGATATTCCAATTCCTTTGTACTCCTGATGTTATTTGTCATAGATGTGGATTTTATTCTTGTCATAATCTTCCAACAATCACAAATCTTACCCGTGATACCAGGTGATATTCATCTCAGAGGTGTAATACTTCATGTGACACTGTAGCTGAATGCCTGTTGCAGTGCACTTAATCACCAGCTCTTCAGCACTGGCTCCTAAAGGAGGTGATGAAGCATATATAAAATCAAAATCAAATATGTGTTTACCACCTGCTGCTGGACAACCTGGCCGGTAAGCACTACAGCATGCATACTATCTATTTATCAATTAACTTCACTTGGATGCATTCATAACTGAATTAATCTTCAAAAAAAAAAAAGGCAAGACTCCATTAGCAGATGTTTATGGTAGTCACTTCAAAATTTCCCTTTACCTTTATCCAGTTTGTAAAGTAAGATTATACTGATGAGAATGAGAGCAGATTTTAGCCAACGGGCTGTAGGTTGCATTCAGTATAAAACACTGCAACCATGAGAGGTTTTATTTTCTTTTTTTAAGCCATTACACCTAAAAGGCTCTTTCATACTACACTATGTCTGTGTGCAACTTTGCTCACTGCACATTACGAGCGGACAAGTGTGTCATCCACCTGGTCACATCACCATGGTTTCCTATTATCACAGTAATGAACCCTCATCTCCTCTGCAACCACGGCTGTAACAGTTGTTGCAGGGCTGTCAAGTGAATGTCGCTTAAAATAGGAGGAAGTTGCTCCTCTACTCTGTCACTGTGACAGAGCARTGGAATTTTAAAGTGATTTCACCACATGATGGCATGATGGCCAAATGCTTCCTGCGTGACAACTTCTGCCACACGTTGACGAGTGTGTGCAGATGTGTGTGTGTGTGTGTGCAGCAGAGGGATTTTAAACGTGTCAGCCTGGTGATGGATCTGCTTAATCTCTTATCGCTGTGGTGTGATTTCTCCATGTTAAATTCATACAAACTCAACTAGAACCTCCCCAGGGCGTACAGAAAATGGTTGTGGGTATGTTTAGTTTCTAAATTTTTAATATGCATATCTGCTCATGGAATTTGCATGTGTTCACTGCATATGCAAGTGGAGGGCAGATACCTACCAGCCAGCTGGCTCAGTTTGTTTATGGCATCGTCAAAAGCTAGAAGAAAGGCAGGGGGAGAAAAAGTCAGGAGAAATGTCAGGCTAAAAAGACACCATGCTGCCCTCTTGAGGAAACACTTGTATTTAGGAAAGTTTTCTCTGAACTTTTCTATGCATTTCTCATGCCAGGGTTATAGTCTCAATATGACCAGAACTATAAACCCCTTGGGTTGCTCAATATTAGAAAAACATGATTGTGTTACTGCTTCTTCTCACTCCTCTTTTTTTGTTCTGCCATCAAGATGCTCAAAATTCTCCATCTGTGTTTATCGTCTACCTCAGATGTGAGCTTTAGGCCAGTGAGAGTCCATCTGATTGGTCTGATCTATTTCAGGAATGCAGACCCTGACTTAATGGCACTTGGAACATTATAGCTTAGTTTTTATTACAGTTTAAGCAATAAGATGTAAAACTGAAACTGTGCATATTGCTACTGCAATGACAGTAACTTTTTGTGACATTGTGCAGTCTTTGCCCACAGTTTTGTGGGCATCAAAAAGTCTGTTCAGTTTATACATTTTACTAAAAAAATTTTACTGCATGCTTTTATTTTATACTGAGGGCAAAAAACAGCTGCTATATTTAATAATTAATCTGCAAAGTTCAGTTAAAAAGAAAATCATTCATACTTTTTCCACTGATGTCAATTTGGCTCATGTCCTTTCCTCTGTCATCACTGATGGTGGCCTTATAAATCCCTGTTGTTTTGTGTGAAAACTGGAGGAGAATCACAGAGACAAAGTCAGTATATATATTTGTTTAATACCACATAAACAGTCAGTCCTTCCAGTGAAACCAAACTTACTTATTTGTTTATTTAGAAACAGAGTCTCAGCTAGCACCAAAATTTGTAAATCCTTTCCCAAATCTTTATCTTTTCTCAAAAATTCATGAGCCTCAGCATAATAATTTTTACATTCTGTCACCAAAAGGATATCAGTGATATATAAATTTAACTTCCATCTTTATTAAAGTGAAGTTCATAAAAAATAATTACTTAGTGAAATACTGTACAAGTTGTGCTTTAGTTTTGTGTTTTGTGTGTTTCCATCCCAGTATAAATCCTTTAGAGTTACACTCTATTTTGTTTTTATTTATCAGCCTTCTGAAAATTTATAAAGAATTTGCAAGCWTCTAAGTATCACAATAATATGTATAGAAAATGATTTTCAAAGCCTGCAAATGAAAATAAAATACAAAAAAAAACAAAACAATGTGTAATTACCTCTTTAATTGGCAGTTTGCAGACTCCTGATCCGAGGTCCGGTTTCACATCAGGGATGATCTCGGTGTCCCCTTTGTACCAGTGAAACTGTGATTCCTTCTTCAAATTAGCAACCTTCAATATTAAACAAATTACTTTAGACATAAATAATATTTATGAATTAAAATAGATGCTTTTAATGTAAAATGTTTAAATGTTGGTATCATTTGTTTAGCTGTTTTTCCCCTTTTTAAAAACGTGCATTTAAATAGCAGAAATTTCAACCAAGCCAAAAAATGGCCTTCTTTGTTCTACCATTGGTCTTACAGTAAAAACTGTGGGTTCTAGCTTTAAATGACTACCTGGAATATTTAACCCTTTGAATACACATACCCTTTCATTGTTTGCATGTCACTTATGTCAAATGACAATTACATTTTACGTAATTTGTTGAAAATAGAAACCATAAAGACCAAGTTATTGTGTCAGACAGAAAAAAGGGCATAAACAGCTAAAGGCTTTGACCTCTTTAACTGTGTATGTTTTTTTCTACACATTCTCACTCCCAAGTCGTCACATATTGACGCTTTTCCAAAGGTTCCCTCTGCGTCTTATTTTGACGCGCAGGGTACCCCCCTCGCGTCAGCCCTTGACGCCCGCGGATTTCCCGGGTTTCGCCACCAGGGGTCTTTGGGTCGGGGGTCTGAGGTTAACATGAGGGATCAGGATTAATGGTTAAATTTAGGTACTGGGATCAGGGGTAGGATGTCCATGGTGAATATTAGGTAATTTCAGGCTTTGGAACATGTTGACGTGAATTTCGTACATTTTCTAAAAATGGTTAATTTTAGGTACTACGGTCAGGGACAGGATGTCTAAAGTGAACAAAGGCAATTTCAGGCTTTGGAACGGTCGTTTTCGCGCATTTTATACACTTTCTGAAAATATGTCAACAGACTTCGCCCCATCTCGTCACTAACGTGACGGGGGTACCCTGCGCGTCAAAATCGGACGTAGAGGGAACCTTGCCAACGCGTCAATATGTGACGACTTGGGAGTGAGAATGGGTTGGTTTTTTTACATACATGTACATTGATAAAATTAGTTATTCTGTGCAAAAGTCTATGTATTACATTCTGCACATTTTGCAACTACCTTTACTTCTTTTTTTATAAACCTACTTGTTTCTTATTGCTTCTAATTTTTATACATGACAACATGACTAAATTCGAGCCTCAAGTTTTCTTTGAATGCCACCTTGAGGATAAACTACCTGTCCGTGAGGTAAAGCAAACATTTTGCATGACAGCTCATCTGCTGTTGCTGAGTGATGGTGTGTGTGTGTGTGTGTGTTTATGAGTGAATGGGGAACAATTAGCACTGCCAAGGTTAAAAAGCACTGCATGAGTGCAGGCCATTTACCATTTTTGTGAAGTCTTTCAAGTTTTAGCTCATTGCCTCGCTGCATGGCAACTCAACCTGTTTTTCACTCTCACTTGTTCAGGGCCCTTCAGCACTGTGTTAACTCATGGTGCACCCCTTTGAAGTCTTTCCAAACTTTAATTGAGCTTTAGGGTGCCAACTTTTGGAGCTGGTGTTTCTTTCTTGAGCAACAGACTTTCAGCTCATGTCTAAAAATCACATTACTGTGCACTGCAGTAAAGGTGTGATGCTTGTTTCTAGGTCATTGTAAAAGTTCAWCTATGAGCCAGTTTGCAGTCAAATCTTCTTCAGGACAACTGGAATCAGCAGTTGTATGAAATGACAGGACATACACTTAAAAAACAGATTGTTGGATTTGCTTAGGTCAAAAATTTCCACTCAACCCAGTTGAATAAATATAAAGTAATCTTTATTTTTTAAAGAAAATCTGAAAGTTGTGTTAAACTTACTGAACTGGAAATTGATATAATTTGGTTAAGTAAATCCAACACTTCTATTTTCGAGTGTACTTCTGACTCAAAGAAATCAAGTTTTGTTTTGTTTTTTCTCAGAGCTACATTAATCTTCCATTAGTAGAATCTATTTATCAGTAGAAGAATAGAATAGAATAGAATAGAATAGAATAGAATAGAATAGAATAGAATAGAATAGAATAGAATAGAAT